CCCGGCAGCTCGCGCTGCCCGCCCCCGCCGCCGGTTGCGGGCTCTTGGGGCGGCGGAGGGGACGCGGGGCGCAGTTTGCAGCTTTCGTGCCTTCTCTTCACCTTGTAAAATCGCCACGAGTTTCACGGATGGCTATTTAGTGGCCCTACGATGCTGCAACACATCGGCTTGCGTTTTAGTCGTACTTCTTCTGTTCTTTGGCAATGGGCAGAGTTTAAAGTGTTTGTGTCGGCTGTGGTATAATGACATAGGGCTCTCTTGACGTTTTCTTTATGACCTTATCCGTTAGAGTTCAGTGGCTAGTCGCAAGCATTATGAAGTGATCACCTAGGTTATTATCCTTTGTATGATTTTTATTTTTTTATTATTTTTTTTTTTTTTTAGAAAACGCCAACAGCCTTACCAAAATCTGAGCAGATCTGAGATACAGTCATAGTTTAGGTAGATGTTAGTCTTGGAGAACTTATTTTGTGTGCAAATGAATATAAAAAGAACTTAAACAAAGTATTATTACACACATGATATCTATAACTAGGACTTTGATAACTGTTATATAAAGTGTGTAAAGTTTGTATTAATAAATTTTTGTAAACAATGCAATTTCGTCTAATGTTTGGGGGAGAGAAAACTAGAACCTAACAGTGAAAGCTGCATTTCATTTAGATTTTTTTTTTTTTAAATTAGTTTACTTTTAAGCAGCGTTGTTCTAACCTTTCATGCCTGGGATATCTTTTTATTAAGTCTCCACATTTTGTCATCAAATAACCTCTAACATTTTTACTGATGATTACTCCTCTGTTCGAGTAAACTAAACAAAACTGCTGAAATAAAGAGCCTAGTTCCACACACACCAGCTGAATAATACTCTCTAAAATATGCAAACCAAACCAGTCGGTGCCTATCGTCCATCCCTCTAACAATTCCTGTGCTTAGAAGCCGTTTATTTTAAGCGGAATCGGTATGTTTGATGAGATCTTCACCTAATCCGCTTTTAATGAACATTCTGTATGTGATAATATGCTTCCCAGCATCACCGGGCTTGGGCAACTGCAGCATCTTTCTTTGGATTAAAAATGTACTGGGCTGTCCTGAAAAATGATACTGAAACACAACAAAGAGTTACGTAGGTTTTACAGGGTAATAGATGGCTACAACGAAAAAGCACAGACAGGCAGGGTTGTTTGTCGGCACAACACGGAGGTCAGGATATCCGACCTCTTCACTTTAGTTTAGCAATAGCCGCTTATGTTTATTATTTTTATTGTAGCTCAGGGACTTTATTCAAGTATGTTGGAAAGTAACAGCAATTCAGTTTAAACTGAACTCCATTTCCTTCTAAGATCATACAATTAAAAACTAAAGCACAGGAATTAAATGACAATTTCCTCGCAATTTATTTTTCAAAGCTCTAAGTCCAGGATTTGAAACAGACTGGTCATATCCTCTCTGCCATGAATTTACCTTCCAGGCTAGTTTCAACAACAGCATTTTACTGACTAACTGGAAAACACTGAGAGAACTTGGAAAGCTGGTGGTCTCAGTGGTATGTGTGAGGAATTAGTGCAAAGCGAGATAAAAGTCTGATTAAATGCAGATCGGGTCAGAGAATAACGCAAGAAAATACCTGTTGGGGGGAGGGGGAGAGGACAACGATTTCTCAGTCTGACAGCATAAGAAAAACGAGTCACCATTTCCCAAAGGCAGCGTACAGTGAAAAACTGCTGTTAGTTTTATTCAGTAATTATGCAGTGCTCATACATATAACCACACCACATTTCCTGCCCATCTGAACTGAAAATGTGAAAAGAGATACAAGCTGAAGACCTTCTTGGTATTGGTAGACGAAGGAGGAAACTTGGAATTGGTCTAACTGAAAAATGAGGTCTTCTTCATCAAGTCCTGGCACTTGTTGAAGACGTGCAGAAAAAGGAAATTCTGCTGTAAATGACATAGAGATGGTCCTAGCCTCACTCTACTGAAATTCCTCTTTAACAAATCAAATATGATTTCATGAAGAAGCTCAGCTCTATTCCCAGTGATTTGAACTGCCATCTGAAATGATGCACTTGGAAAATGTGCAATACTGAGTCTTATAACATGAGTTTTGTGGGGATTGCTGATGTTCTGTACGCTGCTATATGACTAGCAGCGGAAATGGAGAAAGCTGGCTGAGGAAACAAGAATGACTAGACAAGACATGATTTTGGAGCCTCGCATTGTAAAAACCTCCTGACATTCAGTCAAAGTGACAAACTCCAGTTAGTAAAGGAGGCTGAACAGAGCAGGACAGACTGCTCCAGATTCCAGCTCTCAGAAGCATGGTGCAAGACCACATCTGTCACAGAGCATCAGAAGCAGAAGAGCCTGAAAGAAACAATTTCTGTAGAGCCCCGGTGTAAACCCGGTTGTGGCCAGCATCTACCTTTCACAAGATTTGCTTGTGAGGGTGCTGACCTCCCCTCTTTGAGGCTTTTAGCCTTCTTCAAAAAACAAAGTTCATCTATTGGATTCACCTAGAGTTAAGGAAAATAGAACATCAGGAGGAAGATTGATCTTTTGGGGGCTTGTTACTAGATACTTTTGCAGCTTGATTTACAGTTCCAGGCTAAATCATTTAGTCTTTCTTCCGGAAAAACCTTCAGGGAAAGCACATCCCTGAAAATTTTAAGGACGTCATGTTTAGCCTCTAGAAGTACATGTCCTCTTAACTACACTCATAGATTTTTAAGACCCGAGGGTACTCTTATGATCATCTACTCTATCTTAGATAATACAGGGCATAGGATTTCATGGAGTCCTTCATTTAGCATTTAATTTCTGAGTGAGCTGTTCTGTATGACAGCAGTATTGATTGAAAGACTCGCAGGAATGGCAAATTTGCTGGGTAAGTCATTCCAAATGTGGCAGTTTAGCACTCTGTTCCTTGTTTCAGTTTGTCTCATTTTCGAGTCCAAGAGATTTGTAGCCTGCTGAAGAATCTCTAACGCCTGTAGATTTTCCTCTCCGTCTAGGTAGACTAAGGCAGAGATTTACTCTTCTCTATACCCTGTCTTTGAGGTAGCAAGGTTGATCTTTAGGCACTCACCGTGAAGGAGGTTTTCCACAGATGGCATTATTTCTGAACCATTTATATTTATTAACATCCTTTCTAAAGTGTTGAGACTAGAAATGGTTACAGTACCCAGCAATGACCACCTCGAGGATGTGGCAAAAAGTAGTAACTTTCCTCTTCTTCCTCAGGTGCTGCTCATTGCTAACAAGGGTCGCATTTGCTCTCTTGGCCATTTCATCATGCTGGGAGATGACGATCTGTCCATAATCCTTTCCTGCACCTAGCGTCTTTTCTGGATGATTACTTCACATGCACAGAGGGCCTGCCCTGGA